CAGCTGGTTTCAACCAAACCAGGGTGAAATGTTTTACTGCCGACGAAGTCTTGCGTTGGCTCACGGCAACTTGTCTCAACAAGCAGGCAAGCTCCCGTGTGAAGATAGCAGCTCAGTAATAGGGACTCTGAGCAGTCTGTCTGTCTTGGAATAATCCTGCAGCAGGGGACCCTTGCGGGAAAACAGCGCTTTTTTCGTTTATCATGGCCTGCAAGTGTCATGACCGTCATTGAGTTGCCGCGTTGAATTCATTTACTTGCCGCGCGTTGAACTGTGGTCGGCAAACTTCTGACCTGGAAACTGAAAGATCAATAATTAATTATCGTCACGTGAACTTTTACAAAGACAGTTGTGACAGTATTATATTATAGACTTTGCAGGGCGGGCCAGCCAATTTTAAAGCAGCCATCTTCGGGATAATATCCGATGTAAATATAATACTGTTTAGTTTTCATTCATTGGCATTGGCTTGCTTGTCTTCTGACCCTATACTTTCCGCTGTCACAGGAGGGTCGTGTCTGCAGCTATTTTTAGGTTCCCAGTCTCAGCCAACAGACGCAGGAAACCCGGCCATGCAACGTTTGCAGACATACCAAGACGCGTGCTTCCTTGCCTGTGAGAGTCGAGAAGCCCTCGTGTTATATGACGACCTGCGTGACAGACTCACAGCCAGCCCCACCCTCATCCAGGAACTCGGCCTGGAGCAGGCCGAGGTTGAAAGAATTTATTGGGGGCTCAGGCGAATCAGCGATCGATCATGCGATTACATGAACAAACTGGCCTTGGAAATCGGACAAGACCTTCCCCAGCCAGTGGCGCAAGCTGAGGGGTCGCAAGAAGAAGGAAAGAAGCCTGCGGGCCGTCCAGGAGCTGAGGATGGGAACAAGGCGCCTGCAGCTGAGGCTGCGGCGTCGGAAGTCCGCCTCAGTCTTGATGAATGCTGGCAAGTAGCAGAGGCAGCCCACTCACATCTACCTTGGGTGTTTGAAAGCGTTTTGCTGCCCGCCAAGCCAGACGCGGATTCACAGGAAGTTTTGGTTGAAACAACCGCTGGAGAAAAATAGCTACGGCTCGATGAATTACCGCGTCTACGGACGTCTGGGTTTTGCAATCGATGGCGTAGGCCTTAGTCAGACTTAGTAGTCTTGCTTCTGACGCACAATTTTGGAACAGCATCGACGAGAGAGACCACTGAAATGAAAGGAGTGAAAACTTGAATTGATCTCATGCTGTGGTGTTGACGACCTGATTCATTCTTGGTCACTGTCACTTCAATCACTCGACTGTGTTTTCATGTCAATTTTCGATTACTTTTACTGGTTTGACAGACAAAACAGTTATTAAAATATTTGCAGTCATGGCAGTGACTAGTTTCAGAGTGACTGTCAGCAATCCGTGACGCTGTTGCATTGTATTCCGCAGCCGTTTCCATTCAAACAGAAATGACAAAAGGCAAGTCGTCGAGCCCGTCTTCCAGCAAAGCGCCTGCTCTCAAGAGGCCTGGCCCAAAACGGACGATTCAAAAGAAAGTCGTCGTGGTCAGCCAGGAGGAGCTACGCTTGCAACTTGAGCGAGTTAACTTTTTGGCGTCCAACTGGCTCACCCGATTGGGCAGGCACAATGACAAGGCCTCCAGGAAACAGAGAGTGCTTCAAACTGCATCAGACTGTTCGGGCCACGGCTCGGACCTGATAGCATACAGGCTTCTGGGGCTGCAAAACCAAGTGCAGCCCGTCATGATGTCAGAGGTCAGCCCACACAAGGTGTTGTTGCACCAATCTGTCGCCCAAGAATGTGGCTGGAAGTACAACGACCACCAAGTCATTGACATGTTTCTACGGAAAGAAGAAAGCATGAAACCAGCAGACGTTTACGTCGCTGGCTATCCGTGCCCGTCGTATTCCAAGTTAGGAAAACGCCAAGGCGTCTCTGACCAGCGGGGTCTTTTGACCTTGCAAGGGTTGGAGTATGTGGCATTGCGCAGACCCAAGGTGGTGGTGTTGGAACAGGTCCAAGCCATTCTTGAGAAGAAGCACTCGAAAATTTGGAATTACATTCTCAAAATTTTGAACAAGCTCGACTATGCGTTCGATCACAAAGTCCTGACTACCCAGGACTTCGCCATACCCCAATCGCGCCCCAGAGTCTACATTCTCGCAGTGGCCAAAGAGATTTGCGCTGGAACAGTGAAGTTGCCGGAGAAGCGGTCAGAGAAGGTCGACTTACACCACTTCATCCAAAAGGACCAGGCCGGCTCCGAGGTGTTGCAACTGCCCAAGTACGAACGACTTTTAGGTTCCGCCATGTGGAGCAAGGGATATATCCTGGATGTCGGATCTTCGGAAAAATTCCAAGCAGTGATGACAAACTGCGCACCGTGCCTGACGAACACACGCTTGGGGCAAGGAGGATATTACATCCCAAAACTTCGGCGCCGCTTGCTTCTTGAGGAAGCTGCTGCACTACAAGGAGTGCCAAAGAAAGTCGTCAAAGCCATGCAAAGGGCGGCCGAGAAACACAAGCTTCCTGCGCGCACAGTGGAAGCAAGCCTTGGCGATGCAATGAGCATCAATGTCTTGGCAAGTGTGTTGATGAAAGGATTAACACACGCTCGCTTAATTCAGTTCAGTGCACAGGACGACCATTGGAGACTAGTTGCCAATGGTCCAGACGCTGCAACGCTGAGTGACCGCCTGTTCGACCGAACAGCCCAGCCGGGACGAGGTCCGAAATGAAGCTCGTCACAACTTTTTTCGGCGGCCGCAGCGACGGAGGCGAGTAAGAGGAGTGAGACCTCCTCACTCCCCTTACCCACTCCCAGCCCAGGCCAGACTCGGGTAAGGATAGTAGGGGCTGTCATAAGCATAGTGGGGCAATCACCACGCCATCACGGCCGCATGTTTTGTCACTATCCTTACCCACTCCCAGCCTAGGCCAGACTTGAGTAAGAGGAGTGAGACCTCCTCACTCCTCGTACTCATGCCCGTTGCAGCGGGAAAGAGCGGTGCCTACTAGTCTTACTCGGAATCCCAGCCCGGGCCAGGAGCGGGTAAGCCGCACGACGTTTAGCGGTTGCACGACCACTGTCCTTACCCACTGGATTCCTGATTTAACAAATTATATCAAGTAATTATTGAATGTTGAATGTCAGCATCCTCGCATTTGGCATTTCTCACTGATCTGTTTTCACTTTTGCGCTGTTGGCTTAAGTCTTTTTGAAGGAAGTTGTTGACAGACACGTTGCTTGCCACTGCCGTGCGATGACCTCGGACATCCGGAACATTTCCGCATGGCGCTTGAACAAGGCTGAGCTGAAAGAGCTCGCCGAGAGGACTGAGAAAGGAGAAGACCAAGCAACCGTGAAAAGGGAACTTCAAACAAAGAAGGCCGTGTTGTGCGAAGAACGTAAGCAGGCGGCCTTGGCGATTGCAGCCAAGCCTGGACCTACGGGTCCCAGCGCGAAGGCAAGTAAAAAAAAGACGCCGACAATGGCAAGTGAGTCAGCCACGGCTGCTGCGATCCGGCACACAGACCCAACGAACGCAGCGTACTACGCTCTGGTGGAATCGGACCTTGACACCATTTTGAAGGAGTGGCCAGGCATTGACAAGGAAATGCCACTCGCACTGCCCAAGTCCGAGTCAGATGGATCCAAGACTGGGGTTCAAGAACCCTTTGACCTGGCCAAAGCTCAGAATGCCCTTGGGCTTCATGGAGTGTATCGCTGCAGCATCAGTCTGTTCTGGGTTCAGATCTTGGCTTCGCCCACCCCAGGCGTTCCAATGAGCCGTCGGAGAGTTGAAGACATGGCAGAGTTTTACTTCCCTGGCGGCAAGCCAAGTTTCCTGACGGGCCGCATGGTAGAGCTTCTGACCGACAAGGCGTCTTTGAGCGACAAGCCCCAGAGTTGCCAGATGCTGTCGCCAGAAGAGATTGTGCATTCGCTGGTGGCTTCCTGTGCTGCCGCAGTTCGGTTCCTTGGCCAAAGTTAAGTATTATTTAGTATGATTTTACCCATGACAATACATAGCAAGACTGACTAAGATTCACCGGACATCCAGGCGCAAGGACGAGCTCTCGGAGGATCAGTGGACTGAGTGGAGAGCACAGTGGCGGGCAGTGTTGCTGAGCGTGCCGGCTTCCTTTGTCGAGATCAAGGACCCTCTGCATGGCCACAATGTGTGGGCGCAGGCCTTCAACCGGAGACAATCGGTGAAGCAAGAGCATGAGTCCATGAGCAGGACGGCAATGCAGATTGCCGTGGAAATAGACCAGTTCAAGACTATGTGCGAGAGCTTGCCCACCTGTAAGACAAAATTGCAGCCGCCGCAACTGGTACAGGAGCTGCTTGGACTTGGCCTCCAGTCTGTGCAGGGAGGCAGAAAAGAGGACGACAGCGATGGCAAAATCACCGTCAACTTGGTGACACAAGCTCTGGCCGTCAAGAAAGGCATTCTTTCCTCTTCGCGGGCAGTTGAGCTACTGCTGGAGCTGGAAGCGTCCTACGGGACACGTTCCCCCCTTCCACGCTATGAGTCGGCTTCACATTCTGTCCACCAAGCCGAGCGCAACTCAGATGCGCGACTGGGTGTTAGAGAGCGTGCGGGATGGGCTTGCCTACGATCTCTTGCAGATCGGAGAGATTTCCAAGGGCAGTCTGAGCGGAGACAAGCATCACACCGGGCTCGTCGCACTGTTCGAGTTGAAAAAAAAAGGCCGGGCCCACAATGTGACAACACAACAATTCAGTGTATTTGAGTCAATGTACCATGTTAGTTTTTGACAGGTCCTGGACCACTTCTTCGATGTCCTTTTGCCGAAAAGCGGTATGGCAGAGGCTGACAGGTTCTTGCTGAAGGAGAAGCTGCCGACCCACGAGATTTACCGTCAACATAGTGGCTCCGACGGAGATTGCAGCTGGATGGCACGACTTAAGAAAAGCGCTGTCGAATGCTTTCACTTGTTGGAGGAGACTGTCTTGATTGAAATAGTTTGTAATTCATGGTTTTTTCATTTCATTGCCAACAGTCTAATTGATTTAAATCCTGTTGATGCCCATCCCAGGACTTGACCTACAACAAAAAGTATGACCACACCCTGCGGCAAGGTGCGAAATCTGGAGGGACTCCAGAGGCTGTGATGGAGCACGATCAGGTGAAAGAACAGGTGGAAAGGGTCCTGGCCATGTTGAAGGACGAAGAGGCTGAACTGAAAGCATTGGCTGAATCGACAGCCGCAACTACAGACCCGGACCATGCAGAGGACGAGCTTCAGGAGGTGCGAAAGCCGCCGAGCCAACACTCAGAAGGATCTGACAAGTATTGGAAGGCGGTCGGCAACCAAACTGTTCGAACTTACTGCACACTCCATGTGCAACCCAAGACATTGGATGGCATGATCAGTTTGGTGAGCCAAAGTGGTTTGAAAGACTTCCTAGGAGAAGGGGGTGTCAGCTGCGTTCTGACCCACCTTGACATGGACGGTATGGGAGAATCCCTTGGCCCAGGTCAGAGACCGCTTCTCCGAAAGCGCTTTATGCCCAACCAGTCCTGTCTCAGAAATTTGTTGCATGGTTCCATGATTGCAAGAAATGGACAGCGCAAAGGGGACGAGTGCATGGTTCCGACAGAGGGCGAATTGGTGTTCGTGCACTGCGGCTTTGAGCGCGCCACCAAAGAGGCAGAAGCCTTGTTCCGACCGGCTGCAGCCAGAAAGGATCAGGCCATTGAAGCAGAAATGAAAGAGCTTCTCCTGGTGTTTTCTGATGCCAGCATCAGGAACCGCAAACTTCGGGTTCGAGGGGCTTACTCATCCAGGCCCACCGCCTGTCTCTTTTCAGGAGCCCCAGTGTCAACCATGGTTCCGGAGAAGCCTTTTGGCGACTTCTCTGGGTACAACTTTGGAGATGTCTTCGGGACCATTGCCGCCCTGCAGCCGGAAGACCTTTGGCATCTCAGTAGGACCCGGCCGGCCTAGTGTTTAAAAATTAAATTCATCCACGCCAATTATTTCTGCCTGACACGTTTTGCAGGAAAGAAAAGGAGGAGGTCCTCACCACTGACAGGTGCGTCTCGCTGACTGACGCCGCAGCGAGCAAAGGCAAGGAAGCTTCGAGCGAAAGTGTGTTCAGCGCCGCTGTGCTGCCGTGCTCTTTCTACAGAAGCTTTCTTCGAGCCCACTCTGTGAAAGCTGTGTTTCTAGGATGCAATGTAACATCTTAAAACCACTAGTGAGTTTCATACTGCAGCTTCCGTCACGTATTTCAGGTTGGA